AGTAACTGTGAGACCAAAATGTTGCTGTGATTCTGTTTTAGAAGCAAAAAAGTGTGCTTTCTAATTTAGCAAAATTTGACAGCTTATCTTTATTGGTTTTGCGATATCAAATACAAAAATACAGCCACTGTGATCATAAAATATTAGAAATGTAACAGCGGCAGCAGTTTAATCGCTTCTAGAAAAAAATTTCTTCAGTTACTGTTCTCACATTTTCAAATAATATTCAAAATTCTAGTCTTCTTATTAGTGACAGTAAGCATTATATGCGGTAAGTAGTTACAGAAGTTGTTTTTTTTTTTTTTTTTGTAGAACAATTACTGTTGTTTGTGAAAATTTTTAAAATTTTACAAACCAGTAATAAAGTTTAACAAATTTACTTTTAATTGAAATTATCGGATATCTGTTTCTTATGTGATTCAAAATATCCACTGAATTATTGCCATGCAGAGGTCATTTTACACTTCCTTAACAGCAGTCTTGTATCCACAGTTAACCTACAATGGTTTCTTAATTGAAACACTCTTTCTAGCTGCCAAATTTTTTTAATTCATGATTGAAATTCTGTCCACAGATTAGCAGATAGCTGTTTTTTCTTTCAAATTATAGCTGACCATTACAGCAGTACAGAAAGTAAAAAATCATCTGTGGCAACTCTTGGATCACTTTTTAATGTATTTCCATGCATCAAGACACATTTAAGATAAACAACGCTGTGGTCAACGTAATACCTCTAAAATCACCATCCAGATCTTAAAAACACTTTGGAAAAGTTCTTATCTTCCATAAGACATATAAGTACCAGGGCTACGGAAGTGCAACGGCAAAAAGATTAGCTTAGAATCAGGGTATGAAAAGACAGCAAATATTTATCTAAGCTGATGATTAAACGCTTATTCAAAATCGTTATTTAATTTGTCATTTTAACAATAAAAAATGGTTTGAAAAATAAAAAAATTTTACTTTAGACTAAATTTTTTATTGTATTCTAGTGGGGTTTCCTGATGCTTCATTTTAGAATCGTTTTGATAGCACACGAAAAGGTAATGGTGGTTTGATGAGTACGTTGGTTTACGTCGTTTGGAACCGACTGGGAATTTGGTGTTTTTCTCTGTGTCACTTTTAATAGCACTTACCTTCTGAATTTTCTAAAAATCTGTGGTTTTTTTTTTTTGGTTAATTTATTCCGTCTTAATTAGTTGATTGTTTTTTTCCACATAATAATTATTTCACTGTTTTATGAGCAGTACTAAAACTACATTTTCTTTGATAATTCATCGCTTTTTTTTTTTAATATTTCTCATTAGTTTGATCGTTTAAAGCTCGTCCAGTTTTGTCAAATGGTACCTGCAAAACCAAACCTACACAAATGGACTATGGATAAGGAAATAGATGCTTTTATTCCGCTTTTTTTAATGTAAAGTACGCTGAAAGGGGAAAGGAAAGGTATCATCTTAGATGCTTCTGTGGAATACACCATAACAGCGCTGAAGATATTGTTTAAAGCGTAGACTAGATAAAATGTTTTATTTAAATACACTGAACTGGAATCAGTTTAATCTGCTGAATAAAAAGTACTCTTAAAAATCTGATAAATTGCATTCACATATTTATACCTTACTCTTTTTTTCTACTTTTTTATAAAATTACGATGTTTACAGGCGAGTAAAACAAGAAAACAGTGCAAAAAGGTGTTTTTTTTCTAACGAAATAAGTATTCAACAAAACATTAGTTTGTAAAAATTACTAATTACTAACTGCTTTATAATTTTTATAATAACTGTCTAATTTTTTTTGATATGTACTTAATGGTAGGAGGAGTGTTATTTATAAGATTCTATAGTGTTTTACTTCGAGCTGCGGAAATAAAGTCGTTTAATTGTTGACAGAATGGTTGACACATTAGATATTCTATAGTTTTCAAAAACAATGATTCTAGATGGTCTACAATAGTAGGATTCAGAGAATTTTTTAGGGCTTTATGTATTGCAAATTAATTTTTATGACTGCTAATTGGAGTTGATGAGGGCAGAGATTGTTTACAAGTTTTAAAACCTATTTTTTTTGTTGAAGAAAAAGTTCAGCAATTTTTCGAGTAGAAAAACGAAATTAAACTGCAATTTTAGGGTACCTAACGACAATCAAGGTGTTTTAAATTTTTTTAAAATAATACTGGCACTATATTCATCCAAAGAAATTATAAGTGTATCTTTCTACATATCCTCAATCAAAAAAAAACAACTGCTGTTTTAAACGTCTCTCTGACGTCTAAAAATTTGTATCTGAAAGCAATTTTATTAAGTTTAAACTTTTTAAAAGCAGAAAAACAAACTTATTTTATTGTCTGACAGCCAGTCAGTGAATATTCTTTCTTTTTTCTAGGTCCCAGATTTTTTATTTTAATGTCAAATATTCAAAAAATAATTTTTAAGGCAACTTTAGCTGTACATTAAACTTTGTCTAGTCGTCCCATTAAATGTTCGAATCAAAAAAATCGACTATAGACTTCAAAATGTTCATTTTTTACAAGTTTAATTTTTCTGTTTATAAGGTGTATTATACGGTTGTAATTCAAGAGTCAGTTACAATTAATCTATCTTATTTTGACGAGCTTTTTAGTTACTTTTTTTGCTTAGAAAACTCCAAAAATGATTTGAAAAAGAACACGTGAAAGTTCATTATTATTTTTTGAATCTGACCTGTGATTTTCTTTTTTTGATTACAATTTTGAACGTCATACCGTCTTTCAAGTATATTCATCAGAGTACTGTGAACAAATGCCTGATGAGTGAAGAGACGAAGGCTAGAAGTAGGGTTAAAACTGTAAAAATTACATCTTTTTTAATAAGCAACTTATGCTTTTTTCTCGATATCCCTCTACAGATTCTTTCGAAGCTCATCCAACATCAGTTTTCCATGTGTTCAAGAAGCAATTAAAGCTGTTCGTTAGAAGATATCCCATTCCCTTCAAATTAGACTTTTTTTAAGCTTCCTTATCACCTGTGTGACATTGATGTTTATTTCTGACTATATAACAAGCGAA